CCCGGTCTGGGAAGATCCCACATGCCGCGGAGCGGCTGGGCCCGTGAGCCATGGCCGCTGAGCCTGCGCGTCCAGAGCCTGTGCTCCGCAACGGGAGAGGCCACAACAGTGAGAGGCCCCCATACCGCAAAAAATAATAATAATAATAATAAATAAATAAAATAAAATAATATGTATTTTGATGTGAAATATTGAAACATGATTATTCAGGAGAGAAAGACTCATCCCCACTAATTTCAAAAATCCCCTCAGGTTGGGTACAGCCCTGGTTGAGAACCACTGGTTTGAGCTACCTCTATTATTTCAGTGCAAATCCTACCTCTCACTAGCTGAGTGACCTTGGGCAAATGGCCTACCCTCTCTGATACTCAGGACCTTCACCTATGATGTTACGGCAAACATCAGCCAGAGCCCTAGTAAGGCCCAAATGCATACAAAACAGGGCAGGGGGCACTGCACATGCTCAGTAAATGGTAGAAATGATGATGGTGCTGCTGCTGCTGCTGATAAATTTGTGCCAATCCTGTTCATATTTCCTAAACTATTTTTCAAAGTGAATGATAACAGTTAACACTAGAATGCTGTATCTCATTTAATCTGTCACCATAAATTCCAAGAGGTGGGTAGTGTTGTTCCCCATTTTCAGATGAGTAAACTGAGGCTCAGAGAGATGCTGAGGTCATGCAGGAGCTCAAGAGAAGGGACCAGGACCGGTACCCGAGGACTGTCCCACAGCCTGCATCTGACCGCTGCCCACACTGCCCATCCAAGGTCTCTGCCACTTCCCTTGACTGCTCCCCTAAGGTGGTGGGGGGCTGTCCCTGGGCCAAGGCCCAAGCCTAGCATGAGTGTGAGGAGCTGGGCTCTCTGCACACGGCTGGTGGCTATGCAAATAGGTGCCACCTTTTGGAAAAGAAATTGTCAATCTGGGGCAAAGGCCCATTCACTCTGCTTCCGGGAGTATGTTCTAAGGAAGTAAATCCCGAGGCCAGAAACAGTTCTGTCCACCAGGATTTACACTGGAGCCTTTTTTATTACAATGATGACACTGATAACGATGGACACTTCTAGAATGCTTACTATGTGCCAGGGGCTGTATAAGGCACCTATATGCAGAATCTCCTTTTAACCTAAATGCAGTCCTATAGGTAGGTACTATGATTAGCCCCTTTCTATAGAGGAGAAAACTGAGGCCCAGGGTTACTCAGCTGGAAACTGACAGAGTCAGGATTTGAACCCAGGCCACTGGGCACCAGCACCCTTATTCTTTAACTCCAATGCTCTACTGACTGACCCCCTGATCAAGTAATGTTTAAAAATAAGACTCAAGAAAGATTGGAATGAAAAACAGCAAAATGTTCTAAGTGGTAATTTCTGGGTTGCAAATACATCAAGGAGGATAAACACGTGTTTGATTAATCTTTTCTGTATTTTCCAAATTTCAGATACTGAGCACTTGTGTTTTTTGTAGTGGTAGTACACCCCCTTCATGGCACCAGCCATGATTATAATTAGCGACTATTTCAGGAATATTTACCCAAAGGCCCATCTCCCCAGTGGTTGGGGAAGTTTTGCAAGGGCCAGGATTGTGCGTGCTTTTGTTCACTGCTGTATCCCCAGCCCCTTGGGAGTTGTCTGGCACACAGTAGGTGCTCAATAAAAGTTTTTTCTGATGAACTATGTCACACTTCCACTTTGGGCAAGCCCCTTACTGCTCTGAGCCTCAGTATTCCCATCTGTGAGATGGGGGCAATGACATCTGTCTTGAGGACTAAATGAGAGCATGGATGTGAGAAGCTTCATTTAAGGCTCTTTAGCAGCTTTGTTTCTTGTTCGCTCAGCCCCATTCTTTGAAGGAAGAGCCCCCTGTTACCCCACCCTTCCCTTCCCTTCTCTTTCTCCTCCCAATTCCTAGGTGTGGAGGGGAAAGCAGAACAGAGCTCTATCTCCCCTTACCTCCAGGATGTCAATGTCTGCATTGCTGAAGTCAATGTTGAGGATTCTGGGGAGAGGGAGGCCAGAGCCCAGCACGGCTGCAGGGAAAGAATGATTGGGCATAGTCAGCATGGCGGCAGCCTTTCAGAAGCCACCAGTGTTTTCAAGAAGACTAACCATGTCTTTCATGCCTCTGGACCTTTGTCCTTGCATGTCCTCGTGCCAGGAGAACACTGCCTCACCCTCGCCTGCCTGCTGAGTTCTGAGCCTTCCCTGAGACTCTGTTTGGATGTCACCTCTGTGACCCTTCCTCCACCCCAGACCAAGCAACTCTGGGCCCCTGCCACTCTTCCTGAACAGCTCCATTCCAGAAATCACAAAATATTAAACCTCTGTTTCCACATCTGTCACCTCCACCGGATTGTGAGTTTCTTCGGGCAAGGACTGTGTCCCCAGCATCACCCAGCCCTGGGCCAGGCACAGAGGAGGAGACAGATATTTGCTGAATGAAGGTGTGGAAGGATGCACATGGGACCCCAACAAGTGACCGCCATGGGATGTACTGTTTGGTTTAGATCATCAGAGCCTAAGCTGACCCACTGATTAACATTCCAAGAAGGAAGGAAGAAAGGAAATGAGGAAGGGAGCAGGAAAGGGCAGGTGGGGGAAATAGGATGGACAGAGGTTGAACAGACTCCCTGACTCCAGCAGGATTTTTCAGAGAGCTAAGAACATTGTGAATCTACCCCAGAGGAACCTATTCAGTATTTCCCAAACTTGCCTGACCATGGAACGCTTTTCGCAGAGTATCTTGTGGGACTAGTTTTCTATGGAACCCTCTTTGGGAATCATGGATCTAACCCACTCTCTCACTTTTGAGAATGGTAAATCGCACTGTAGTGAGATTGAGGGACTTGCTGCCAGGTTCACAGCGCCTCTGCCAGGATGAGTGTCTCCATCTCTTGGCTTCCAGGTCAGCCCAGCCTGGCCAGCTCCTGAGAGCATTCTCTCCTGCCAGGGAATGAGCATGCGCCTGGTGACCAGCACTTCCCTGTGATTCAGATTCAGCCTCCTCTGGTGACAGTTCCCAGAATAAGGGTTTGTTTGACACCCAGAGCTCTCCAAAAGAACCCGGCTGGTACAGCTGATGCTGCCCCTCTTCATCCTCTCTTCCAAGAAGCGCAAGTGGGGAGAGAGAGGTTGGGGTGCAGTAGCATGAGGGTTGGGGAGCTTACTGATGGGGAAGCTGTCCCAGCCTCCAGCGGCCCCAGACTCCAACAAGGAGCCGCAGAGAGGAGGCACCACTCTCAATCTGTTCTACTTATAAATTTGGGTAAGAAAACTCTCTAACTGACAATGTGACTGCCTAGGGGGCAGATTCTGGGTTGGGAGGTTAGGGATCCTGGCAAAAGCAACTTTAGCTTTGTACTGATTGAACTTTTTACAATAATAATGTATGCACGTGGTCCCTATGAAAGGAAAAATAAATACACAATTAAAAATAAGTCAGGAACACAGCCATGTGAATATATTTAACTTAAAAATGGCTAAGAAGGTAAATTTTATGTTATGTGTATTTTACAACTAAAAAGAAACACTTCAAAAAATAAATCTGGAAACATCTTGAACTGTATGCTAAAAAACAGAGAAAGAAGAGTTTAGAAGGAAACATACCCAGATGTTGGCATTAATTGTCCCTGGGAGGTGAGATTTTCTTTCCTAGACTCTTCTGGACTCTCTAAAATGTACACACATACAATTTTCATATATAATCAGAAGTTTACATAGATAATCAGAAACTCAGCCAAATAAGGGCGGAGGGAAGAATACAGCAAAAGCGGCAAATAAAGAAGTTGATGGACTCTTGGGGCAACATTTACTTTCAGAGGCTGAAATAAATAAGCTTAGAGTGAAGTTCTCAGAAATACTATTGAGGTGGAACAGCTGTGCATCAAATATGCCCAACAAACCAGTAGCCACCCGGTCCCCAAGTCACACGCCCCCAGGGAGGCCCGGGCACCTGCTCTCACCATTCATCGCGGGCATGACAGCCAGGTCAAAAATCTTCCCGACCAGCACCTCCAAGAGGCCAACCTGCAGAGGAAGAACAAAAAGGCAGTGGTTCGCTCAGATCCGAAGGGATACTTGAGGCCTCCCTGTGGCCGGAAGGGAAGCCGCAGAGCTGCCCCTGGGAGAACCTCGGAGGGGGCAGTCAGAGCCCCTGTGATTCCAGAACCCCCAAGCTGGTAGCCCCGAAGCGCACCTGGTCAGCCAGCTCCCTGTACAGTTGGGAAGCAGAGGCCCAGAATGGGGCAAGTGCTGGTCCAAGGCTTATGGTGAGGCAGGGGCCGAGGGAAGCCCAGCCAGCCTCACAGGGATGCTATTCCTAGATCTCACTCTGGGGCCTGAGCTTGGTACTTACATCAAAATTGCCCACATTTGAGGTTCTGAGGTTGAGCCTGGTCCTGCAGATAAAGAAAACAGCTCATTAGAAGTAGCGATTGCCTGAGAATCATAAGGGGCTCGCATTTCAAGAAACTGCCAGAAGCCTCTCCACCAACATCCTCACAGAGATCTCTTTCAGTCTGGGGGAGGTAATAAGAACAAGTCTGTGGTCTCCACGTGGGGAGCACTAACTATGTACCAGACACGATGCCATATGCATAAGGCTCACACCACAGCTGTGTGTCCTTGGCAAAGTGCCTCAGTTTCCTGCTCTGCAGAGTGGGTGGCTGCAACGACTAAATGAGATAATTCAAGTAAAGCCCTTAGAATCACAGCTGGTACCCAGTGAGTGCCGTGCACGTGAGCATCGCTACTACCTCGTGTGATCCTTCAGGAGCCCCGTGGAGGAGGAAGCTGAGGCTCCCAGGGCCTCCCAGGGCCAGGGCCACAGGGCTGGGGAGAGGGCACCCCAGTCTCGCATCCAGAGCTGCACTCATCGCTGCTGTGCTGTCCTGAGCAGGGAGGCCCAAGGCCTGGGTTTGAGGTCTTTCTCTGCACCGTGAGAGCCTCAGTCTCGCTGCACCTGAATCTCACTTGCAAACCGACAGTCCCACCCAAGAGGCCAGACCAGACCCGCCCACAGGGCAGAGAGACATTGGAGCCACTGGCGTCCAGAGTGAGAGAAACAAATGAGGCTTCTCAGGAGAGAAGACTCTGTTTTGGAAAGCTGGATTCCTTCCCGACTTCCACTCCCATCCCTCCTTCTCCCTCGACCACTCCATCCACGACGCCTAAGCTCTTTCCTGCCCCTGGAAGTTTGCCTGCACTGCTCTCGCTGCCGGAAACCCCAGCTCTTCACCTGGCTGCCCCCTTCTCCCCATCCAGGCCTCAGTCTCAGATCTCCTTAGAAACTCCTGAATGGCTCTGATTAGCATCATCTTATGAGTAGCTCTCACTGTTGGGCTTGATAAATATTTGTTGTAAGACGAAAACCTTACAATGAACTAGGCACATGCTGAAAATGTTACATACTCTCTCATTTTTCTTCAAGTGGGACTAATAATAGCCCTTGCTGCCATAGGCTGATGTCAAGAATTAAATGAACGGGAATTTCCTGGCAGTCCAGTGGTTAGGATTCTGAGCTTCCACTGCTGGGGGCCTGCGTTCAGTCCCTGGTTGGGGAACTAAGATCCCACAAGCCACATGGTGCAGCCAAAAAAAAGAATTAAGTGAATACATTGAAGGCTTAGCTCAATGTCTGGCACTTAGAAAGCATCTAATAAATAATAGTTCTTCTTATTATGAGTCCTATGAGGTAGAGACAAAGATGCCCATTTTAAGATGAGAAAACTGAGTTTCAGAGAGGCAATGTTACTTGCCTTACATCACACAGCCAGTCGGTGGTCACGTGAGGAATTGAACCCATACCACTGGCTCCACAGCCTGTGCTTGTAACCATTCGACACAGCTCCAGGTCAGACAGACCCGGGTTGGTTCACAGCCCCTCTCTGTTCTCGTGCTGCAGCCTGGAGTAAGTAAATCCACCTCTCTGAGCCCTAGTTTTCTCCTCTTTAAAACGGGAGAATAACAGCCCTAACTCTGCAGGGCTAAACCAGATAAGACATCAAAGTACCCAGTGCAGAGCTTAGCACATCGTCACCAGCAGCAGCATCATTATTGTCCACGCTGTTGTCAGCAGTAGGTCCTTCTGTGAAGCTCACGGCTCCACTCACTCTACCCGGCTCACGCCAGTGATCTTGGCAATCAAGGCCCATTTTCCCCCGTGTGGCCCCTTGGATTTACCCTGGCAGCCATGCCCGGAGACCTCTAAGCCCTCCCTGGTCCCTCAGTGAACTGGCACCAGACACAAGAGCACCAAAGAGACCTTTCTGAGGAGCAGGAGACCGCAGCAGCAAACCCCCTTACTTGTCCAGCTTGGTGTCAATCATGAGCTTGTCATTCTCCACGGAAAACATGGCCGAGAGTTCTGTGTCCTGGAGGAAAGGGAAGGTGAGTGGAACATCACTGCTGTTATATGCTGGTTGTTGCTTGCTGGGGGCTCACTGGGAGACCCCCAGTAACGCAAACCATATGATGGATTTTCCCCGCCTCCGGAGGGAAGGAGTTGGGAATCACAAATTGTCTGCATTAACTGTCGTTCACAAGTAAGTCATGGCAAGGGCTGGCGAACATTCCTCAGAACGACAGCTGTCACAGGAAGCCGACGATTGGCATGGGAGGTGTTTATCAACTTTCTCTGAGCTGTCTCAGAGGAGGTGGGGATCGCCTGCAGCCTAGGAGGCCTGCTTCAGATCAGCCATTACAGATGGGATTGGGCATCATCACTGTCAATCATAACTGCCCCGCCCCCACTGCCCCACCAAGGAGAGGGCATAAAAGGTCCAAATTCATCTGCCTTTCCAAGTAGAAGCCTTATTGTAAGAAGATCCCTCTTTGCTTCCCTGCCCTCCAGATCATCTGGCCCCCAAACTGGACTTGTAGTCACTGTGGTGGGGACCATGGGGATTTGTAGGTGTCTGCAGACTCCCCGAGACCACGTGACCACTCAGCCCCACTCACCACATCGATGAGGCAGATGTTGGTCTCAGCATCATTGGGCTGGGAGACCATGACCATGGAGGTAGCAAACACCTTCACCAGCGCCTGGTCCTTCTGCAGCATCACTGAAGGTGGGTTTGGCACCTGGATCCTGATGGTGAGGGAGCAGGACTCGGGGTACTGCTGGAACACCTGTGGGCAGACACTGGGTGAGGTGAGCGGGGCCCTCGGTGATGGGCAGGCTCAGGGGGTCATCAGTCAACCTCTAAACACATAGCACAAGGTTTCACACTGGATACCTTCAGACCCAACAATATTGCTCGAGTCCTACAAACCATATGCAAAGCCTCCAACCACTGTGCGGTTTCGACAGGGGCTGCCTTCTCCGAGCCTCTCACACAGAGTTATCATGAGAATTCAATGTGATCATGACAGCAAAGCTTTGAACTCAATGCCTGACCCTCAGAAATGTTCAAAACCTGGTCCTTAGGGAGAGGGGGCAGGGGGGATGGGCACCGAGGCCAGTGCTGGGCATTCATTTCATTGATCCTTCACAGGGTAATTTTTTCTCCATGTTACAGATGAGAAAACTGAGACTCAGAGGGTAACATCAAGCGAATTATCCAAGGTCAAAGGAGAGTTGAGATTCCAGGCCAGGTCTGTGTCACTCAGAAACCCAGGACCTCTCTCCCCTCTCACTGACTCTCTCGCCCCACCTGGAATGAGAAAGTCCACAATTCGGGGTGCCTCACCGTGAAATTCCCAGAGCAAGGCACAGCCTGCCCCACCCGCCTGGATTTGCTGGGGTCTCCGGAGACCCACGGCGGGAGGGATCTGAGCCCGTTGGCTGCAAAATTGATTCCTCCAAAGCTGATTGGCTAAAGGGACAATTCATCAAATGACCAGCTTCCCATATTTGCTAAATAACTGATTTACCAAAAAATTTATTTTAAGGAGCACTTTTCTTGAATATTTTAAATGAGCATAAGTATGTGGGAAAAACCACAAAGTTACTTTGAAAAGAAACTAATTTAAACATAAACTTTTATATTTGCAGTGCAGCAGTGTGGGTCCTGGTCCTAAGAAGACATTCATTTTCTTGAACACATTCAAGGTGAAACTCTTCTGGACAAGCTCTTGGTCTAATGGCAAATCTAGCAAATTCAGCCAACTGACCACTCAGTGGACTCATCTTTTGGCAAATCGGCTTCCAGCAAATCAATGATTTGGTGCACTGGCTTTTCACAAAAGGATTTTCAGAATACTTCCTCAAAGGGGCCTGGTGTCTCAACCACCTCCGCCCCAACATGCAGAATCTCCAAGAATTAGCAGCACTGTCTTCACAGGGACCCTGAAAGGTCACCTTGAACTCTCTCCCCGCAGCAGTAGGGGACCCAGGATGCCCTCATAGCTCTCGTCAGGCATCTCCAGGTGACTCCAGGAGACATTCCTCTGTGTCTAGCCTGAGCCCCCCTGCTGCAGACCCAGCTCCACATGAAGCCCTGCGTCCCTGCTTTGGCCACATTGTGTGACCGCTCTGAGCCTATTTCCCCATCTGTAAACTAGCCCCGCGGATGGGGGGGATGATTAAAACCAAATGAAACAGTAGATTCTTAAAAACTTTCATGAACCGTAAAGTGCAGTGCACATAAGAAGTGGTCCAATAGATATAAGATCCAGCTGACTGAGGGGTCCACTTGCCTCCTGGAGAGGCCACTATTTATGGCGTTAGTAATGGTGCCCTGCCATTCGGCTTTCAACCACATGAGGGTGATAGTGACCACTTGTGGAATTTGATCTCCTTTCCTGCCTCCTTTGAATTCCACCCAGAACCAGATGGGACAGGTAGAAAGGAGATGAAAAATGTCTAAAATGGCTGTAAAGTACCGCAATCCTTTGCATCTGTATAACACTACATAAGAAGTTCCTTGGTGCCAGGTGCAGCGTAGCAGGCCTGGGACCAGAGCTGGGATGAGAACTGGGATGAGAAAGGCCTTTTTTTTTAAAAAAAGAAATAGTTATTAGTAACAAGAACAATCATAGATAACATTTATCAAACGCCTACTCTGGGCCTAGGTTCAAATCCCAGGTCTGCAGCCACGCTGTGAGGTGGGCTTTGTTGCTCCTGTTTTCCAGATGAGAAAACTGAGGCTCAGAGATAAGTCACTTGCCTAAGGGAGTATGGTTGGGATGTGCTGAGTTGGAATTCAAATTCATGTCTATCTGCTCCAAAGATCTGGCCCTTTCCCTCTAGGCCTCCGTGCACCTACATGTGCCCCATGTCAGCATCTTTATGTGCATTATTTCCTTCATCTCCTTTATCCTCCTGGATGAAACTGCAAAAGGTATTAGCATCCTTTTCTGACAGATGAGGAAACTTAGGCTCAGAGATGTTAAGACTCTTGCCCAAAGACACACAGCGAGGAAGTGACCAGGCTGGGATTAGACCTGGGTAGGCCAGTCCACTGCTAGAGCTCAGGTTCTTTCCATCTCAGCCCTCTGTGCCGCGCCCCTTCACAGGGGTCCAGCGTCCAAGCTTTTGTCACTGCACTCCCGGGGGGCGGGGCGGGGGTAGAGCACCTCACCCTAGTACTGAGTGTCTTCCCTTCGCACCCAGCTCCTGGGACAGCTAGAGGGAGCATGAGGCTGAGACAAGGGTAGGCACCAGCCTTACGTACCTTGGGAATCAGGGCTCCCAGTGTAGACGTGGTGAGTGGAGGAATCTCTTCAAACTGCAGGGAAAGAAGAAGGGACAGACAGGAGCTGCTAACACACTGTGTTAAACTCCTGCACCCTCTCAGACAACAAGTGGGGGCATCTCCTCCCCCTTAAAGGCCTCTTGGGAGGCTCTGCCTGTCCAACAGTGGCCACCATGCAGCCATGGTAGCTGTTTTGTGGTTAAGTGGATGGGGGCGGCCGCTGAAGCTTACCACAGAGAGGACTTTTCAGGGCAGGAGGCAAGACCTGAATCTTGTCCTCTAAAAATGTGATTCTTTATTAAAACAAGGTGAGCATCAGCGTGTCCATGTGCAAAACCCAGAGTCCACTAAGTGCATGATTCTGCCATATCCCTGAACTACCTGTACTATTATTTACTTAATATCTTCTTTAAACGAGTTTACTTTTTAAAATATCGAATACTAAAAAATGGAAAGCCAGTACCACTTGACAGAAGGAGATGACAGGTGTAAAACTAAATGCGATAAAAACAAAACAATGACATTACATTCTGCATGGATACCATTGTCTTTGGGGGACTTTGGGTGTGAGTGCTATTCTCTCTCAATTAAAAGAGGACACCTTAAAGTTTAAGAGAGGATTACATTATACTGGCACCAAATGGAGACTTTTCGCTTGATAGAATCGAGGTTGACATAATGTATATGATTTTTTTTTTGAGAACATCTTGTTCTCATGAGATACACACTGAAGTTTATGGAGTGACACGTCATCATGTCTCCAAACACGCAAGCTGTTCAACAGCAGATGGATGGATGGATGGATGGATGGATGGATGGATGAGTAGATAGGTGGGTGGGCAGATGGATGGATGGATGGATGGATGAATGGATGAGTAGAGAGGTGGGTGGGCAGATGGATGGATGGATGGAAATGAAGCAAATGTGACAAGATATTAACTGGTGAATCTAGGTGAAGGATATTATGGCATTAATTGTACTATTTTGCAGCTTTTATGAAGGCTTGAAGTTTTTTGAAAGAAAAGATTTGGAGAGAAAATGACTCTGGAACATACCTAAAGGTGGTATTTTATTCTTATGTATCTTTTAGTTACATAGTATCAATGTTTACCAAGTAAAAGGATTCTAAATATTTATATTGAGTTACAGATATATGGATTTAAATCATGTTTTTTTTAAAAAAGGATGGGAATAAAATAGAATTGGGTAGGGAGCAACTTTTTGATGTTGTTTAGTGTCATGTCTGTGAATCACCTAAAACCCTCCCAGGCACCACACTTTAGTAAACACTGACATAATCGATACACATTCTGAACTGGAGATAAGTCAAGGGGTGGACCGTCTACAGTTTTTGCTTTAAAGCCATTTCCCCAAGGCCCTGGGGACTAGAGAGGATCAACAGTGGGCTGTTTGCTGCCCGGCCCACCTCACCCCGAGGGCTGTGACTCACCATGCCGTCGGTGATGCCAATATCCAGCGCCCCTTGCTTCTGCAGGAGAGTCAGCACTGGGCCCAGAAGGTTGGCAGGAATGGCCGGTTGGTGTTGTCGCCCGTGGGGGGCAACTCGGGCGTCTTCTGCCTGGGGGACATGGCCGCCCGGCCCAGGGGACAGTCCATGAGCTCTCTTCCAACCGCCCCAGCCGGAGTCTGGGGAAGCAGAGAGGAAAGGGGTCACAGCAGGGAGAGAAGTGAGGAGTGCGGGAAGGGGGCTGCAGGCTGCGGGGAGGCCCTGCATCCGCGTCCAGGAAGCCTTCCTTGGTTAAACCCACTGGGTCTGAGTGACTTTTTCATTTGTGGCCCTCACAAATTCAGTTTGTGATGGAATAGCATCTCTTGCAGTTCCCGCTTTATGACCCCTTATAATTAAGTCGTGGTACAGCGCCAGGTATCTGAAATATGCCATAGATTCTGCCCCACCCCGCCCTCCCAGCCCTGCTCTAACAAGGTAGCAAGTTAATGCACCTGCACAATACACACTGGAGTATCTAAAGACCAGACTACTTTCCGTAGCCTACAAGGCATTGTGCGGTTTGCCCCATCTAGAGCCACACTGCCCTTCACCCACCCTTCCGCAGGGCAGCCACCAGGGTCTTTTCCATCCCTGCCTCCACCTCAGCACCTTCCCACCCGCCGTTCCCTCCCCCACACTCTTCTTTCGTTACATTCTGCTCATCTGGCTGGTCTCAGCTCAAGTGTCACGTCCTGCAGGAAGCCCTCTGTGACCTCCCCGGGCGAATCATACCCCCTGCTTTAGGCTCTGATAGCCTCGGACCCTCCTTCACAGAGCTCATGGTCTCTAATTGTTTGAGGGATTCTTGGATGGCCTATGCGCTCCAGTCGATGGCCGTCTCCATCAAGTCAGAGATCTTGTCGTGCTCATCACTGAACCTCTAGCCCCAGCCCAGAGCCTGGCACACAGCAGGTAACTGATAAACGTCTCTTGAATAACTATGTGTTCATGGATATGCTCGGTGTGCACAGGTGTGCTGTGTCTGTGAGAGCACGGTGTGCGCTCTAGCTCTGCGTCTGACGGGCGAAGCGAGGAGGCGCTCAGGTTTGCGCAGCCCAGGGGAAGTACACCTGTGCGTGCGACTGTGCAGTTATGGGTCAGATTCAGCAGCGTGCTTGAGCCAGCTCACACCAGCTCATCAGAGCCAATTCCAGGCACCTCTTCCCAACACCATGTTTAGGCCAGGGAGGGAGTACTCATACCATGGAAATCAGCAAACACTACAAATTAGGGACTTTAAAAAAAAAAAATCATGAAGAGTGGTTAATGCTTACCAGCACACGATTAGCCAGATTCACTCCTCCAGCAAACCCAAGCCCTAGCAGCAGCTCTCATAGCTAGAAGCCAGATTGCCTGGTTCAGAACCCAGGTTCACATTTACTAGTTGTGTGATCTTTGGCAAGTGGCTTAACCTCTCTGTGCCTCAGTTTCCTCAATAAGAGTGCCTACCTCATATGGTTAATCTACATAAAGCACTAGGAATGTGCCTGGCACACAGTAAGCACTCGGTAAGTGTTTGCTATGATTGTGTTTCCCAGCATGGCTCCTAGAAGGTCTTCATCTAAGCAGAAAAGGGTTCTGTTCAAATGCTGCTTCCCAGGCATTCAGCAGCAGCCCTGGGGGGCTCTCACTCTTACCTCTGCCTATGGGGAGAGGGCCACCTCCCCTGCCCGAGCCCAGGCACTCACATTGAGGTCCAGCTCCAGGAATTCCCCAGTCACGAGCGGGAGGCTGGAGAAGGTGTACTGGACACTTCCCAATATTCCCAGAGGAATCAGAGCTGCAGGCAAAAGTGGGGGTCACAGGAAGATCCCCCTCACCCACCCAGACACCCTCCTTGTGCCCTGAGTGGAGCGGGGCAGCAAGGTTTCAGCTCCAGACACCATGGAAAGAGCAAGGATTCTGTGCAAAAATCCCACCTCTGCCTCTTCCTTGCTGTGTGATCTCCGTCAAGACACTGCACCTCTCTGAATCTCCATTTCCTCCTCCGTAAAATAGGCTTAATAGAATTCCTTGGACTATATTGGGGAGCCAATGAGATTCTGCATATTGATAAGCTTTGTAAGCTGTGAAGTGCTGTACACCAGCTAAGAAGTTTTAGGGCTCCACAACGTGGCGCTTAATTGAATCTGGCATTTCCCTGACTGCTTGTGATGGACAGCCCGACCTCCTGGGCTCTTCTGGCCCTGTACGGCTGTAGAGACTGTGCACTGCATAACTGATGCTACCATTATGCTGTGGTCTATCTGGAAGGAGGTCCCTGGAATCATGGAGTGAACAACCTGGACAACCACGTGGGGCAGGCTTACCTTCACGAATGTTCACTCAGAAATCCTGGATCAAGGGCTAGTGCTGGAGCCTGAGTCTGAGGACCTGGATAGTCTCCACAGCGTCTGTCACTCTCTAATCTATTGCTATTCACTCCAGTCTCTCTGGGGGCTGAAGCCAACTCCCGCATTTTAGAGATGAGGAAATCGGGAAGAGTCTCTCCAAGTCCACACGATGCCCGGGCAGAGCCAGGGCTTGAACTCAGCCAGTCCAGAGCTGTAGCACCCTTGGGTCCAAGTGGGAACCTCCTCCCTCTGGGACTTGGGGGGATGTTTGGGGACAAGAGGAAAGGCCAGGCAGCCCCTCTCCCCTGGCGTCAGCCGCATAGCACTCCACCCCACTGGGCCTTCCTCCCAGACATTGCTGTGTCCCCAGGGCCTTCCGAGGGCTGGCCCAGATCAGGCGCTAGTAGATGGCTGAATGCAGCAAAGTAGGAAGGACTTACAGTTCACGAGACCCAGCTGGTCGTTGACAAGACCCAGTACCACGTCCACGATGGGGCAGAGCTGTAGGGTAGAGAGGGCATGGAGCTCTGGCGACGGTGCAGGAGGTGGAGGAAGGGGTGCACGAACAGTAACAATGACAATAGCTACTGTGTACTGACTGCCTCTCTGTGCACTATGCGGGGGCACTGTCTTCCCCGCAGCCCTATGGGGAAGGCTCTCTCATGATCCCCATTTTACAGATGGGAAAACTGAGACTCAGAGAGGTGATTCAAACCCAGAACTGTGTGAGTCTTGAGCTTCACCTCCTTATCCCTTCACTAATCTGTCCCTCCACATTCCTCAGGGCCCTTCCCAGACCCCCAAGGACACATTCCAGCCCCCTGGCTCCCTCCATCCCTCTGGGTCACCTGCAGGCCTCCAGGGATGGAGGCTGGATGACTGTGGCCCCTCGGTCTGAGGAAAGTCTGTGCCCCCCGCTCCCCGTCCCAGGATGGGTTCTTACCAAGTCCGGGAGGACATTGGCCAGGACTTGGTTTACTAAGTTGTCCACAAGGTTGGGAAGAAGCCTGAGGAGAGAGGAGTGGGACGAGGAGAGGCTCACCAAGCTGTCCACACTCGGGGCCCCTGTCCCGGTGCTGTCTGAGCAGCAGAGCCCTTGAGTGCTGGAAAATTGTTCTGAAGGCTAGAAGGTCAGTGTATACTCACCCTAGACCTGGCTGGACAGGCTGCTCAAGCAAATGGCTTGGCTTTTCATTATTCATTCACTCATCTATTCATTCATTCATTCATTCAAGAAACAAACAAATGCTCCTTGAGCTCTACTATGGGCCTAGCCTAGGCTGTCACATTCCTGTTTTTTAACTGTAAATGGCATTCCCTCCTGCTCATCTGCCCCTCTAACGGGCTGTTTGCTGCAGCTTTGCATAATCTTCCCAAAGGGAAGATGAGTGTATTATTTTATCCAAGCACCTAGCACAGTATCTGGTGCATAGTAGGTGCTCAATAAATGTTTGTGGAGGGGAGGGAAGGAGAAATACTAGTCCACCAGAGAAAATGAGTTCTTGGTGCTGAAAAGATTGGGAAATATGGTCCATTCTACAGACAAGGAAACTAAGGCCCAGAGAATTGAGCCAGAGCAAGTTCTAAGTGCATCACCCAGCTCTAAACTAACTCTCCTAACCAGTTAGTGAAGGGAGGAAAGCGATTACTGATACATAGACAAAACACACAGATGGACGGACAGACAGACTTGTAATACATTTGTTTGTTTCTAATGTATTTGTTTCCCGAGGCCCTGTGGTGATGAGAAAATGAGGGAAACATGGCTATCCTAACACAAAAGTATCACTGACAGCCTGACCCCTTAGATCGGTCCCCCTCTGCCCTGCTGTGCCCCTTCCCCACCCCCAGGTTGTAGCTGATTGTCCAATGCTCTGCAAAGCAAAGCATTTCTTCAGATAAAGCCCGAATTCCATCATTTCCCCCAAGGTTGCTATGTGTTATGGTCTCCTTTTTAAGCGAATTCACCTTAAGGGGATCTTGTCTTGGATGATGAGGGCTGTGAGAATGCACATGCATGTTTATCCGTGTGTGTGCCCGTCCATGTGTGTTGGGGGGATAATTTGAAGTTAATCTATGTATATTCAGGGCACAGACTGCTTTCTCCTGGGAAGTTATCCAACAGACGCATTGGCCCATGTGTGAAAAGATGTATGTAAAAGACTATTCATTATAACCTCATCTGTCAGAGCAGGTTAGACAAACTGCGGTGTTCGACGCCAGGGGACAGGGCAAATCAATAATGGTTCATCAAGACAGTGGAATATTACACAGCTGTAAAAAGGTAAACAAAAGGAAACCATGTTCCATACAGAAAATTCTCCCAATAGATAAATGGTGAGAGAAAAGTGCAAAACAGTGTTTACAGTATGTGCTCATTTGTATTAAAATGAGGGCGGGGAATGAGAATTTACATTCATGTTTGCTTCACTTGTTCAAAGAAATTTGATGGAGAATCAAGAAACAAATAACCATGGTGAGGTCAATGGGAAGGGGGCAGATGGGAGACAGGGAGGGAGGGGGCTGTGCCTTTTTATCATTTTATATTTTGAACCACGTACTACCAGGTATATTTCCTCGTGAAAATGTGAATTAAAAATCTGTGAGGTTTTTTGTGTTTCCCTCCCCCTCCTCTTCTCACCAGAACACCCCTGGGGCTGATTTTCTCTGCCTCCACCTACCCTGGAGCAGAAACAAAGACTCAGAGAAGCCCACATGAATCGGAAATGTGGGGCTCAAGTCACACAATGATTTTCTCTGATCCCACAGTCTAGATAAGATGAGGGCTGGGGGGATTGGGCCAAGAAACTGATAAGACAGGAGGGGAAGGAGTAGGGGGCCTCAAAGAGAGAAGCAGAACAAGCATCTCCCAGGATGAGGGCTGGGGAGTGAAGAGAAAGGGACTCAGCTCTGAGCTGCCCTGATGTGCCCTCATCTAAGACCGTCACCTGGGGGCAGCATACCGGTCAATATACAGACACTTGAAACCACTCTGCACAGAAGGTGCTGACTTGGCCACTTTGTGGGGAGTGTGTAATGGAAAATACTCACCACCTGACCAAGGTCACATTGAACAGAATCAATTGGCAAATTTCCCTGTGAGTTGGAGCACAATGGATGCTAAACCTCTGTTAGACATATTCATAAACCCTTAAAATGTGCCAGATTCTTCACTAAGCTTTTTACATTCATTATCTTAGGGGCTTCCCTGGTGGCGCAGTGGTTGAGAATCTGCCTGCTAATGCAGGGGACACGGGTTCGAGCCCTGGTCTGGGAAGATCCCACATGCCGCGGAGCGGCTGGGCCTGTGAGCCACAACTACTGAGCCTGCACGTCTGGAACCTGTGCTCCGCAGCAAGAGAGGCCGCGATAGTGAGAGGCCCGCGCACCGCGATGAAGAGTGGCCACCCGCTTGCCACAACCAGAGAAAAGCCCTCGCACAGAAACGAAGACCCAACACAGCCAAAAATAAATAAATAAATAAACATTATCTTAATTCCAAAGGGGAAAAGAATCACCCCCATTTCACAGATAAAGAAAGTGGAGCTCAGAGAGGGCAACGGAGTTGCCCAAAAGTCACACAGCAAGCGATAATGAAGCTGAAGAGGTTTGAACCCCAGGCTGCTTCCAGAACCTCTGCTCTTAAATATGGTTTGCCAAAGACAGACCACTCCAGCATCTGCCAAGGCACTCCACAGCCCGCTGGTACTCACCCCCGCAGCAGCTTGACTTTGATACCCCCCGGGAGGGTGTCACATTGCTCCATGACCAGCCGTGGGTAACCCGTGCGGTCCATGGTCAGCTGGACCCTGGCCATGATGTTCACCTCCACTGCGATGTCCAAGAAGCCAATAAGACTGGAGGAGACCATGGGGCCAGAGAGACAATGAGTCAACTCCCAACCACCACCTCACACCTCGGCTTTTGCTCTGGCTTGCCCCGCCATCTACTATGCTGCTGGCTCACGTCTAGGGGTCCCAAACCAGAAGGCTTCCCTGTCCCTCAAGTCATCTGTGAACAATTCTATCTCCCCTTAGTCTATGAGAGCTCCAAAGACTAGGAACAGAGGTCCATAAATGAACTCTATGTGTAAATTCTGGTTTCCAAGGTGACCACCCAATCATCCAGCTTTGTAGGCATGACCTCATCCCATGGGGATAAATTGATGCAAAAGTCCACTGTCTGAGGTTCTCTAACGAACACCACCTACGTGGCAGGCACTGTTCAGCGAGGCCTTTGCTTGCTGTCCCTCGCTGTGGCTGCAGCCACCTGGAAAAGGATATGTCTTATCCCTGCAGGTGAAGACACTACAGCTCAGTGAAATTAGGGGGACTGGCTTGAGGTCACAGATTAAAAGAGAGAGTCAGGATTCGAACCCAGGCAGTCCCCAGACTCCAGCCTTGCAGATCTTAACCACCACACAGACTGCCTTTACTGCTCGTCACTCAGGAGATGACCTGAGCCCAAAGATATAAGCCATGCGTGTGCTGGTGACACCTCAGGTGTTTTAGTCCCCACATTATGGACAAAGATGGGAGATGACCTGCCCAAGATCTCCCAGCTAGGATGTAGCGGGGCAGGGACCCCTCCGGGACCAAGGGCACACACCTTTTCCCGTTGATGGCCACGTGGGTGTACAATCTCAGGTAGACGCCCACACCCGGCAGGAGCCGCACAGACACCTGAGGGAGAGTCAGCTCCACGATGCGCAGCCTGAACAAGACCGAGAGCGGTGAGAGGGCGGCCAGCCCCACTGCCTGCCACGCTGCTCAGCCGGGACCGCCCTCCCTACACCCTCCTCCTCTGCACCCCATTCATTCCTTCAGACTCCAGAAAGACCTGTGGTTTGTGGATAGAACTTGGAAAACACAGAGAAGTTAAAGGCAAATAAAACACCACGACCCATACTCCCACTGCCTGGAGACCCACTGTTTATATTTCCATGTATTTCCTTTGAATTTTTTTTCATGTAAAGATGCTATTCCTTCTGCCTGTCCCTGCCCCTCCTTGCCTGCTTCCCTCCTACACATTCTTTAGATTTCAGCTCCAGGTCCTCTTCCTCCAGGAAGCCTCCCCTGATCTCTCCACTATATACATCCTCACTTCTCCATGAACTTCTTAGCACTGTTGTAATTGTATGATTGTTTCTAGGCTTCTTTATTGATGCCATATACCCCACCAAGCTGCAAGCTCTGTGAGGACATGAGATGTGTCTTGTCTTGGCTCACCATGAGGTTGTGTCCCTAGTACCAATATAGTGCCCCACACATAGTAGGCACTCTAAATATTGGTTGAATTAAATAGTGAATGTGAGGAGGAAGCTGGGTATAGTTGAAATTATAATATGTATGTATGAGCCTTGGGTTTTTTACACCTAGGCTATATTACTATGATGATTCTACAGATGAGGGAACTGAGACTCAGAGAGAGGAAAAGAATGGCCCAGAGTCACACACTAATATAAAAGGTTGAACTGGGACTCAAACACAGGGCTGTCTAACGACAAGACCCCAAATCATACAACTTGGGACTTGAGATGTCCAGTCCTGAGGCCAAGCCCTAAAGTGTACAGATCATCCCTTTTCCAACTCCAGGCCTCTGGGGGTGATCATTCCTGTTTGGAGGTTCATCAGGGAACTTAATAGGGAGAGCCTGGCCCCTCCGTACCCTGTGATGCCCTGCACGGTGCTGAGGATGCCACCCTCGCCGAGTGCTCCCAGGACCCCCCCTCCTCCGAGAGGTCCTCCATCACCAAGGAAACCACCTCCACCGAGCAGGCCACCTTGGCCCGCTAGGATGCCGTTGGCTGCCAGTATGCCTCCAGTGCCCAGCAAACCACCTGGGTCCAGCGCCCCAGTGGCTACACCAGGTGGGATCTCTCCAGGCTGCAGCTCTTGCCGGTGAAGTCTGCCCATGGTCGCCAGCACTTCCGCTGACCTGTACCGCCTGTGGCCCCTCTGGCTGCCATATGCATTCTCAGCGTTGCGGTAGTTGCCCTTCCGGAGGTGTCTGATGCTTCCATCAGATTCAAGCATCTCACCGTAACTGTATTTGCCCCCCAGCTGAGCGGTGGTATCATTGGCCTCAATGTGACCGTACTTGTAATTACTACCAAGCTGGTTGCCATTGGTATACTCTGGGGGTGGTTCTTGGATGTGAAACTCATTGTAGGGAACACCACCGACACCTCGGGGGAATTCAGCACCTCTGTAGTCATCGTAATGGTGTCGGCCACTGCCCAAAAGACCACCACCATCACCCAAGAGACCACCACTGTCACCCAGCAGCCCCCCACCACTGCTACTCCCTCCACCCAAAAGCCCCCCACCATTACCACCCAGGAGGCCTCCATCACTGCTGCTACTGCCACCCAGTAAGCTTCCGCCAACTCCACCCAACAGGTCACCACCCCGGCCACCTCCACCTCCACCAAGCAAGCCCCCCAGGAGAGGCCCACCACCGTCACCACCAGCTTTACCCATGGGCACCTCTCTCAGGGCTGAGCGGAGAGCATCACTTTGCTGCAAGGTGCCAGAGATGGCTGCAGAGAAGCAAAGGTCTCAGTTAGGGGCTCTTCCTCCTCCAGCCCCCAGGCACTGCCTCCCAGCATCGCTCAGCTCTCTGGGCCCCACTTTTCCCACTGGTAAAACGCTGAGGTCGAATGGGAAGACTCCTCCAGACCAACCCAACCCTGACACCCCCGGGACCTCATTAGCTGCTGGCTTTGACCTCTCACACTTTAACTGGATTTCGACAGCATTCAGCCAAACCTGGATAGATTTTCTTCATGATCCTCCCTTCCTGTGCTCCACACTTTACAGCTTAAAAAAACCTACTTCCTTGTGCATTATTCAGTCTGATTCCTGGGAAACAGTCAAGACCAGAATTATTGTCCCCATTTGATGGATAAAGAAATTGAGGTCTGTGACACTTAGGAAATGACCTCATTTTTTATTCTTATGATAGCCTTGGATGGGAATTAGGGCAGGGAATGGGTCCTCATTTGCCAGATGACAAAAGTGAGGCCCCAAGAATTAAGGCAGAATCAATATCAGCTCCCACTTTCGAGGGCTTTCTATGAACCAGGAACTGTGCAGAGTTTTCCAAAGTTCATCTCATTTAATTCTTGAATCAGTTCTCTGAGAAGGGGACCATAATTACACCTTCTTTGCAGATGAGAAAACTGAGGCTCAGAGAACTCAAGTCATGGGCTTAAGGTCACACAGTCAGTATCTGAACCCCAGGAAGGCTGACTCTAGGACCCAAGCTCTTAATCACTGCTTTCTACTGCCTCAAGCATAGAGTCCCCAACATGGTATCCGGCACATAGCAGGTGCTCAGGAGATGGGAGCCAAAAGAAAAAGAGGAAACTAAGGCCCAGAGAAAAGCCACCCATCCATCTGATGTAGAATCTGCCAGTAAGGAAGAGAGTCCTTGGGAACTTCAGAGTTGGCTGGACTTCCCTACCTGCCCCCTGCCACTCCCCACCCACTGCAGGGTTGGACTCACCATTGCTCAGCACGTCTTTGGTAACCCTGAGGACAGTGTTTGTCTCCTGGCGGATGCCACACACAGCCACCACGGACAGAGTAGCCACACACCACCCTGTCCACATGCTGGCACTGCTTCTCTGCCAAGGAGACAGTGGGTCGGTCATATGGCCATGGCTGGGTGTCACCGCACTGGCCAGCAGGTGGAGTTAGCACCCCCCCTCCAACCCACCAAGAGTCACATCAAGACCCTGAGGCCCAGAGACAGGGTAAACGACCCCAGGTCATAGAATGGGGCAGGTCCAGAGTTCTTGATACCACCTTCTGAGTTTTTCAAATTGCAATGAATCTGGAGGCCCAAAGCAGACCCATTAACCAAACTGTCCCATAACATAGATGTTTTATTATCTCCTGAGATGAAAGTTTACAAATGGAGCCTCAGGAAGAGAGAAGCGTAATCGGGATTCCAACCAAAATAGCAAATTAGCAGAAAACAGACTCTGGGGAAATCTACTCATATATTCATCCAACCACCCACCCATCCATCCATCCATCCAACCATTCATCCACTCATCAACTATCCATTCTCCCCCTCTTATTCATCCATCCATCCAACCAACCATCCATCTACCCATCCTCCTTCCCATCTATCCATCATTTATCCATGTTCCAACCGGCCAGCAAGCCAGTCATATGTCCATCCATCTATCTTTCCTTTCTTCCATCTTTCCTTCCATACATCCATCATCCATATATCCTCCCATCAGTCAAACATTCATCTAGCCACACTTGCATGTATCCAGCCAGCCAGCAAATACCTTTTCCCACCTCTTTGGAGGAGGCAGTTCTATACCATGTAGTTAAGATTAAGGGCTCTGGATCAGAGCTATCTGGGTTCTAATCCTTAGGCAAGAGACTTGACCTTTTTGAACTACAGCTTCCTAGTCACCAGCACATCATATCTGGTACATAGCAGACACTCAGTAAACAGTAGTTATTGTTTGGGGACTATTATTTCAGACCCCTAAGAAGTGGGTGTGAATTATTATGAGATTGGAGGGGTGAAGCTTGCATTTGGGGATGAGCAGGTCAACCCCCAGGAAACTTTATTTTGCTGCCTCCATGTCTAGTCCACTTCTCTCACTCCACCAGCCCAGTCTAACTGTTCTCCAGCCTCAGAGAATCAGAACAGGACATGGCCTCCCATCTGGGCCAGACTGTGAAATTTTTGGCTTCAGTCCCACTGATGCACG